GCTGTTTGAAAGGTTTTCTTCCATAAAATTAATCGATTCTAGACTAATTCAACTCAACATTTCCAAAATATGTATAATTTTTTGGGAATAATCCATATAAACTATGCTATAAACAAAAAATTGTAGGATTACTTACCGAGAGTGCACCGTTTGACTATGCCATTGCTTAAGCTTGTTTTCATCGTGGAGCTTGTCATCGAATGGCGCTCGCATGCTTCCTGATAAATTAATTTTTTGCAAAAAATTTGCTGAACTTTGGAGACATCATTAATATAAATATAATTTTTATGGACGTTAAATAATAAATGGTTTTTAGTAGGTCTGCTGCTCGTTTAAACTCAATGGTTTGTACAGTATCCGCTATTGGTCTAGATTCGATCAATCCTGTCGTGACACGAGTCAGCGATGACGTTTTACCAAATTATATGAGTTTTTTTTAGCATGTTTGTACGAATACTGTTGCAATTTTTTCACCATGATATAGGAATCCAAACTGTAGGAACCCATGTTATAGGGGGGTTGACTGTATATAGTTTCTTTTCACAATCATTTTAAGTCAATTTTAAGAGTTTATCCATATATTGCATTATGCAATTAGGAAGAGAAAATACTATAACTTCTTGCACATAATTCACAGAAAATTGGTAACATGAAAATAATAATAATAATGGCATAAAATTTGCATTTACAAACTTGCCAGGACAAATTCACATATCAAGAAATTTAAAAAAAAAAAAAAAAAAAAAAAATATTTCTTGATAGATTATACATACAAGATGAGTCCATATCATGTATAATCTATCAAGAAATATAATTTTTTTTTTTTTTTTTTTGTAATTGCTTGTATGCAGTTTAGAATGCATCTTCTCAGACATCCTGTTTTTTTCCTTGTTTCCTTTTATTTCATTATGATACAATTATTTCATTTCACTTTCACTGTGAATCTAATAGAATATTTGAGACAGAACCACCTAAACTACATTAAGAATCAATCATCATCATTTCAACTGAAGATTGATTGTAATTGTTAGGCCTGACAATCTGAAGCTAAAATTCTGTTTCATTCATCTAGTTATTGTTTAGAAAATTTTCAAGTTAAGTCATGTAGGTTATTTAATAATATTTTAAATTATACAAATATTATATTAATTATTATGAAATGGATTTTTACAGTACAGTTTTAAAAAAGGGAAGCAAATGAATTGAAATGATAATGATGTTATCTTTAGTTTTGATTGTTAGAAATTATGGTGGAATTAATGCTATTAGTGTGTAAATAAAACAAAATTATATACATTTAAAGCAATATTACATAGTCAAGTTAGGGATATTATTTTAGTCAAAATTTATTACATATTTGATGAAAAGCGCAAATGCTCATCATCATTACAATTATCTAGTCACGACTTAATCAGTGAAAATGGCTAATTGATAATCAAAAATAGCCTTGAAAAGTTCATCTTTTATTGGAAAAACCATAAATTTTTAATAATAATAATAATAATTCCAGAAACAACTTCATTAACTCCTACAAATCACACATTCATACACCAAGGACATACAAATTGAGTTTGACTTAGACAAATGCAAAAAACTACACATAGAAAAAGGAATCCTGAAGAAAGAAGATTTTGAACTTGGAAATGGAGACATTATTGAATCCATGGAAGAGGGCAAGTTCTACAAGTATTTAGGGTTCCAATAGGCCAAACTAACAGAACATACAGAAATAAAGCAACGATTAATTAAAGAATACCAAAGTAGGTTAAATGCTATTCTCAAAACACAGCTAAATGTAAAACACACAGTTAAAGCAATAAACACATATGTCATTTCGGTACTCACATACTCTTTTGGAGTTATACATTGGACTCACACAGATCTCGAGCAACTCCAAAGGAAAACAAGAACAACACTTACTAAGCATAAACAACATCATCCTAAATCCGCCGCAGAAAGATTAACCCTTCCACGTAAAGAAGGCGGACGTGGCCTGATTGACATAGTTAACCTTCACTACAAACAAATACAGTCACTGCGAGAGTTTTTCTACAAGAAACAAGAAACATCACAGTTACATAAAGCAGTAACTCTAGCAGACTCAAATAACACACCATTAAACTTACACTCACAACATACAGACATGACACAACATATAAAAAGCATAGACAACATTAAGCAATCATGGGCTCAAAAGGCTCTCCATGGCAGGCATCCTTACGACCTGGCCCAGGATTTTGTTGACAAAACTGCGTCAAACAGCTGGTTAGATCGGGGATGCCTCTTTGGGGAGACGGAAGGATTCATGATTGCCATACAGGATCAGGTCATAAATACTAAAAACTACAGAAAACACATACTCAAAGATACAACACTCACAAATGACACATGCAGAAAATGTCACATCATGCCAGAAACTATACAACACATCACTTCTGGTTGCAAGCTCTTGGCACAGACAGATTACTTACATAGACACAATCAAGTAGCAAATATAATACACCAAGAGCTTGCAAAGAAACACAAATTGGCAGACATCCACGAACCATACTACAAGTATATTCCACAGACAGTATTGGAAAATAACACGCACAAAATGTATTACGACAGAGCCATAATCACAGATAAAACAATTTACCACAACAGACCAGACATCACACTCATTGACAAACACAATAAAATCACATACATTATAGACATAGCCATTCCAAACACTCACAATGTACAAAACACATGCACTGAAAAAATTAGCAAGTACACAGAACTCGCCCAGGAAATAAGGCATCTGTGGAGGATGGATAGGGTAGTTATTGTACCTGTTGTTCTCTCCTGTACAGGTGTGATACCACACACACTACACAAAAGCCTGGGAACATTAGAATTGAGTAGAAATAAATACATAACACTACAGAAGGCCACTATATTGAATACATGCCACATTGTTAGGAAATTCCTGAATACACACTGACACGCTTATTTAATTTTAGTTTTGTTTTGGTTGCTATGCCTTGAATCTGGTCCAGCATAGTACACAGCTACCGGTGTGAACCGAGTAACCCACTAAACCCAACACGATAATAATAATAATAATAATAATAAATAATACTATTTGCGAAAACAAACTTAAAATATTTTTTCAACATTGAGATTAAGATGAGTTTGAGTTAGAAATGCTGCCATTGTTGTTCTTGACAGAAATGAGTGCCATTTCAGTTATAGAGTATAAACAATTATGATAATATGCATCTTTCTTATTGCCATTGGATATTGTAGAGTTAATCACTGTAAAGAATTGGTAGTTGGCTTCTGTAAATAATTCTTTGAGAGTCATCATATAGAAAGGATGGAATTATTGGAAATTTATGAGCTTTCAATGTATCCAATATCAATTAATGTAGAAAAAAATGGAAGGAAACTAAAGGCGTGGTTTCCAGAAACATCATGATGGCAGATGAATATGTGTAACACACAAAAATCATGTAAAATATAGCAAATAAAATATCCTTTAAGGACACCCTTAAAAAGTTTAGAAGGAAATAGCTCTTAGATTAATTCATAATTGACAGATAATGTGAACCTACTTTAAAATGCAAATAAACTGTGGATTATATGGAGAAAATTTATGGTATGCTCAAAATTTTCTTAAATTGAATATGATACATACACACAATATTTTATGTACTTATTTTCAGTCAAGCATTTTTCATCATGAAGTTTTAATTATGTGACCATAGGGTCGGGGTCTCTTTGACACCACGTCAGGAGACCTGAATCTGACACCACCGAGTCTCGCAGGACTCGGAAATCGCGATGTTATGTCACGCAAGCGGTAGCAGGTGAGCGATTGGATTCGGAGTAGAAGTGAGGATAGAGATGAGGAAGTGACTTATTCAGATTCCATATTTTCTAACAAATAACAATTTTAATAAGAACCAAAGACAATACAGAGATATCGGGCATATTATCGGGCTTAACTATACTAGGCCGTTGAGAGAGAGAGAGTTTACAACCGAATTGCAGGTTGATAAATACCTTTCTTCTTGGTCGCAGATCTGTAGTATGATGACACTGTTGACGCCGATGGAATGTTCGCTCAAAATAGTTCTGGGTCTTGTCCGTTAATAGGAGCACTACGATGTGACGGCATGGAATTGGGGATCTTTAAAAAGGCACGATGTTTGTCACGGGTTGAATTCTGGATTCTTGAACACAGTGTTAATCCTCGAGGACAACTTTGGTGGACGGACTTTGGAAGACGACTGACATCGGGTGTTTTTTTCGTTTTCTCTTTTATTCCTCTTGGGTTTTTTCCATGAGGTCAGGTGGTTGTTGTTAAGGGCCTGGCGTCCAATATGGGTACTTTATCGAAAGTTCCGGGTGACACATCGCTGACTAGCTGGATCCTCCTCAACAAGGAACCAACTCCGTGGGAAATAAATTTTTATGGCTTTTAGCCTAACGCTCGAATTGAGGATGGAATGTTTCAATAATTAAAATTTAAATTAATACTTTATTGTGGGTCTGTTCGTCCCTCACACTTATTTTTTTTTTATGTATTAAAAATTATGCATAGAGTAAATTTATAAGTCATTAAATAGATTTCCAATCAACAAATTTATGTTAGATTCCAATGCTCTTTTACTTAATTTCATTCTGATTTTATGTTTTTGAGTTGCTTGTGTTTACAGTAACATTATATTATTTTTTACAATTTAATCTCATTTTTATTTCTGATTAGGCATGTGAAAATGGAAGAGGTGCAGTCTTATTATCTGTAGCAAGAGGTAAAGTTTCTGAAGGAGTTGATTTTGGTAAGTAATAATTTTCTTGTAACCATATTTAGTTTAAATTCACTACAAATTTATTTAACATATTACCTACAGATGAAGCATCAAGCTTTGTTACATTTTATGAATTTATGAGATTGTATAAATACTGTGTGTGCTAAAAACCCCATTAGGTCTTTCGGAGGTGAATTCATTGGACTTTCTTACTTGATGACTAATGTAAGTTTGCTGACGTTAGGGAGGTGCAGTTTATCTCGCATCACAATGAGCCTAAGGGAAACCGCATATGTGGGCTGTGGCGAAGGAGACAAATGAAGAACAAGTATTTTACAAGAAAAACCCGTTCATTTGTTCAAATTCATGCTTACATTGATATTGGACAATTCCAAAATCTCGGTGTTCCTATGAAACAGTGAGAGTTCGGGTAATCAGTCGCAGCCCAGGCAGACGAGAAGGATCGCTGGACAATGCAGATGTTCGGTGTTAAGCTGCGGTATTCTAGGTGTTCGGTGGTAGCACAACACAATAGATAAAGCACAACTGTAGGCATAATCCAGGAGAGACTCTCCTTCGACCTTGAAGTTCTGATTTTTATAGTTTTTCCCCCACTATTCACATTTCGGATTGGTCTCTCGTCCTATTCCTCGCTTCCCTATCGGTCTCTCCTTTGTCTCCAGGTGCAAGATGAAACTTTATCGGGTCGCGGGAAAGGTCCGATTTGAGGCGTCCATTTGATACCTCTTTGTCGACTCTGCTCGGTTAATGTTTATAAAACAATAACACCTGCACTCATAACTCAGGCCGTTGTTTACCATTTTTTGACATCTAAGAATATAACGATCATTTTCATCTATCAAAAATTCCCCCGTTTTTTTTTGTTTGAAAAGGTTTATCTCAGCCAATGATTTACATATTTATGAGTGCTCGTGTTAGAGTTTGTCTTCCGCCAAGACCGTGACATAGTTTGACACATACTCAAACAGTTCCGAGTTTCGTTGTTTACATCTTGTGTCGCACAAGAATTTCACGGTTTACTCGAGTTCAAACCTCGTCTGGAAACCCACACTAACTGTTGGTTACAACAGAAATATGAGTACAGTGGTGCCTGTTATAACGTACTTAATCCGTTAAGTGAAAAGTCCGTTATATGAAACGCATTTTCCCATAGAAATACATGTTAAAACACATACAGTAGACTGTCGATTATCCGAATCAATTGGGGACTGGGGTTGTTCGGAAGATCGATGTTTCGGATAACCGATTATGCACGAAAAAATATATTAATTTATCCCATCTTGACATTTTTCTCCGTTGCGTGTCGCTTCGCATTGAATTTTCGTCAATGTTAAGCCTAATGAAAGACTATTGTATAGTTAAAAATTATTTTTTATTTTGTACGAACAAAATAAATATATTGAAAAATATAAAAACAATAAAAAATTATACTTCAGAAGTTAATTTAGTATCAAAAACGTAAAATATTTGAGTAGCCGAAGACATAGCCAAAGATTACAGCGCCACAGCACTGGCGAAAATTTAAATTTGTCGACTGGAATTCCTTCGGATAACCGACCTTCGGATAAACAACGCTCTACTGTTTTAATATTCGGCTGCGAATGGTACAGTTCCTTAGAGTTAATATTAAGGAAAAAATGATATCTTAAATATTTTAAGATATTATATGGCTGATTTAATTGCTTACTACTTGATGGATGAACTTGTATTATTGCGTATCTTTCAAGTACCGCGATAAACGTAACAATGGAAGGCTGATATAACCAAACACATTTTATGCTTTTCGCTTTAGTGTTCGTTATATTGTAGTATTTGATTTATATAACTACAAAGGCAGTTATATAACGTTAAAGGTAGTTATATAGTTACGTAGGAGTATATCACATCGAGTGACCAATCTAAGACATTTTTAAAATTTTTTATTTTTACTGTACTGTACATAATTTTAAAATATGTTAGATTGGTTACTTGGTGTGATAAACTCTTATGTAAAGTAATTTTTCTAAATATATATCAAAAGTAAACAGAAATTTTGAGTAAGAGATTGAAAATTCAGCAGAAAAATTTTGAGATTAAAAGAGTTTAAGAAAAAAAATTTACACATTATTTACAATAACTTCTATAATATTCTGTATAATTTGAAATATTTTGATAAAAATAATGAACAATAGTCATCTTTTAAAGCTGCAATATAAACATTGAATATCAGACAAAAGACAGATTTGCCGTTCAATAACGAACAGTTGCAAATATTCTTTGTAATAAATTAATTCTGACTGTAGTGTATTTACACCGATTGCGTTTCGACACGTGGTTTAGTAGCGTCACGACATACAGTAAATACAGCTACGCTTGTCGAGCTTCATGGCCTCATGAAGCAGCGACATCTCGTGGTAA